TTTGCTTTCAAAAATAGTTATAATGTTGGTTCGACGCGTAAAATATTACAAAATTTCATTACAAATTCATTACAAATTTGCCTTAACGACGCACTGGCCGTGATTCACAAACCAGCTCAGTAAAGAAATAATTTATTTTTGGTTGGAAATGTTTTCTTGGAGAGGAAATTTCTGACGTAAAACCAGGACAATTACTTGGATTATAGACAAAGACATCAATCTGCTGTAAAGCAAATGACTTACACTTTTACAATTTGTAGATAATAATTAAATTGGAATCAAATAAGTAAAAGGATAGGGAGTAATTGAGTGTAACTTAAATTTCTTTAGGAGTCAATAATTTAGTGTAGAAATTGTTTTCGTGGTAGGAAAAGATGGAACGTGTCAAGTCACATATAGTTCGATTTGATTTTAATTTCTCAATAGATTTGCAAGTTTCCGACACATGTAAAACACACGCAAACTAAGGATGGGTATGTACCAAGCATGAGCAATTCAAATAATATTTTTAATATTTTTAATTAAAAACAAGTCTCTTAGAAATTACCTAATAAGGATATGTTGAATGGTGGCTTGCAACATAAGAATGGAAAAGTCCTTGTAATCACGCAAAGACAATGGAAAGAAAACATCAGTACGGAGAAATAGAGCATAAATACTTGTGAAATTGTATGAAAAGAGAGTCTATGAAAAAACGTTCAAAAGCTCCAGATCGTCTTCCTTCACTCACTTATAGGATATCTGACATTTTAAAGCCGTTTTGCAAGGAATTTTACGACCAATGGCAAGAAAAAGAACCAATGTACGACAAAAAATAGGTTATAGAATGGAATCCTGTGCCTGTATTACAACAGGGCGAGGGTTTGCACCAGTGAGATCCCCAAACAAGTGGATCCAGATTACTGTCTGACCACAGGGTGAGCTAATAGGCCATAGTCTGTTACTAAAATGTAATTTTTGAGGCTCTGATAACAGATTGTATATAGCGCCTGATACAGCTCGTTAACTTCTTCACACATTCTGTTTTCATATTGGAGCCTGTCATCTCCGAGAAATTTCATTTCCGAGGATCGGGTTGTAAAAGCTCCAAGTTGCACGCGAGAGTATTTACGTATGCATGTCCAAGGCCTTTTTTTATGATGCAGTGAGGATGCCTGAATCATTCTACCGAGGTACCGACTACGTGACTATCATTGGCAAACACATCATCGTACCGTAAGCTCGCTTTAGCATGGGTTACAGAATATAGAAGTAACTGGTGCTGGAAAAGACCTCCTAACCTGTAGCCTGGGGATTCAGGGGGAGTTCTTTTTTTTATTTTCCTTTTTTTTTTTTTTTTTTGAAAAAGGGATTTTTCTGCCCCGTAGTTAACCAAACTCGTGAAATGGAATTCTGATCGTATCAGATCAGGTCAGTCTTTTTCTGACCAAAGAGTGGCATTTTTTTCCCCCGAACCCCCACCCCTGCTTTTGCTCGTTTCTATTTATTTATGCTACAGGAGAGTCTGAGAAGTCAGTGTATCAAAATAAAACGATTGTTGCTATGAATAATGTTATTTGAATTCTGTATGCGACGTCTACATAAAAAATTAAAACTTTTCTACTGTGAAAAAAAATTCCTACCCCCTCAACATTGGCCCTTATAAAAAAGACAGGTCAGAGCACTAATTTGCATCAATTAAAAGACAGCATGAATATTTATCTACTTTGCTTAGCGTTTTATTCATAATGGTGAAAAAACTAATAAAATAATAATAATAATACATATTAAACAAAAAATTAAAGCCGAATAAATGAAATAGTAAAATCTATGCACACACGTTGTTAGCGATATTATTTACAATGCTAAAAAATGCCGCCATAGACTTGCGCGTGTAAAGCAATATTCTTTCCCCAGTCCTACATGTAAATTATCATCAGGTTGGCCAATTGCAAGGTAAAGCATATAAACAATAATAAATAAGAAAAGACGCGTACGACTTTAACTGGATAGCCTAAAGAGGCCTACAGTCGATAGGAACCCCATGATGGCATCAATCTATAAATATTCCAAACCTCCTGTCTATTTATTTTTCCATATCTCAAAATAATTTAGAATACGTTATTCATTCTATTATGAACAATATTAGTTAATTATTTAATTAATTTATTTATTAGTGTATTTAATATTATTTATGTGCTCAGTATGGTTTCAAGAGAGTCACATTTTCAAGAGGATTTGTTGTTCCACGCCTGCTTATTATGAAAATTCCACAGATCGGGTTTTGATGAGATGAAATCCGAATCTGAATCACCGAAAAGCAGCAAATATCCTATTATTTTCTAAGTAGCTAATCTTTCATGACAAGTGAAGAGAAAAAATCAGCTCTTGTGTTAAATAATATACTTTTGACGATGGCAGAACTAATTCAATGACTGCACAGCCGATATTGCTGTACAATGTATTCTAACTTTCAAACCACATTTTGCTTTCAAAAATAGTTAAAATGTTGGTTCGACGCGTAAGGTATTACAAAATTTCATGCTCCTCAAATATTTCCAAATTACACGGACTGGCCGTGCTCCACAAATACACTCGGTTAAGAAATATTTTCATTTCCAAGGATCGGATTGTAAAAGCTCCAATGAGCACGCGAGAGTATGTACGTATGCATGTCTGCATGTCCATGACCTTTTTTATTATACAGCAGGGCCCCGAATTTTGGTATTTAAGAGGACGAAGGGTGCCATTTGGTATGGTTTAAAACTACAATTCAGCTAGTCATAATTCTAATTTCAAAATGGTACCATTGGCGTGATTTCTATGTCAGAAATCGAGGGGGGGGGGGGGGGGCAGGACCCACATGACACCCATTCTAAATCCGCCACTGCCTGTAAGTTTGAGGATACTTGGATAATTTTACCGAGGTACTGACTATGTGGTTATCATAGGCATACACGTCACCATACCGTTAGCTCGCTATACATGTTCACAATGGTGCAAAAATAAATTAAATTCTAATAATACATTTTAAACAAGAAATTAAAGCCGAATAAATGACATAGAAAAATCTATGCACACACGTTGTTAGCGATATTATTTACAATGCTAAAAAAGCCGGCATAGACTTGCGTGTGTAAAGCAATATTCTTCTACCTAAGGTTCTAGGTCACAGAATTAAGAAGGAACTGGTACTGGAAACGGCCTCCCGACCTATCTAATAGCCAGGAATTTTTTTCCTGAAGAAGGGATCTTTTTATCTCGTAGTTAACCAAACTCGTGAAATGAAATTCCGATCAGTTCAGAGCAGTCCTTTTCTGACCAAAGTGGGGCATTTTTTTCCCCGAACCCTCACCCCTGCTTTAACTCGTTTCTATTTATTTATGCCACAGGAGAATCTTAGTAGTATCAAAATAAAACAATTGTTGCTATGTATGATGTTATTTGTATGCCACGTCTACATAAAACATTAAAACTTTTCTACTGTGAAAAAAATTGCAACCCCCTCAACATTGACCCATATAAAAAAATAGGTCAGAGCACTAATTTGCATCAATTAAAAGACAGCATGAATATTTCTCTACTTTATTTAGCGTTTTATTCACAATGGTGCAAAAAAATAATTAAATAATAATAATAATAATAATACATATTAAACAAAAAATAAAAGCCAAATAAATGAAACAAAAATCTTTGCACACACATTGTTAGTGATATTATTTACAATGCTAAAAATGTCTGCTCAGGGCTGATATAAAAGAAAAAAAATACATGTATTATAGGTCCATATGTTCTTTTTTTACATATATAGTGTCAGTAGGTTTTGTCTCCATAGATCATGTCACATCTAAAAACCAATTCTCGACAGTTGCATGATTAGGTTGCGCTTGTCCCGAGCTTAACTTGCATAGCTCAAAAAGGGCTATAATCAAATTTCTTGTTGGAAACTGTTTAAGCAGGTTGCAATCTTTTATCCTTGGGTGTCACTCTTTCTAGACGTTTGCATGAAGCTCACTGAATTTTGTAAACATAATTCTTTTTATTAATATTCAACCTATAGTCACTACAGGTTTCTCCAGGGTGGCACTTCTACAAGTATTTACATTAAGCTTTATTTGGTCTGTGAGTATATTTTACATTGCAGACAATTTTAGCTGATGCAAATCTTTTCTCCTGGGGTTTCACTGCATCTTTAAGGCCGCATTCTCAACGAATTGAGCCAGGCTTTACAAATCCTGAGAACTAAAAATGGAGCATGTACATGAAAGAAAAACCGCCTAATCTTTTAATAGTCTCTCCGCCTCTCACACGCCTCCCCACACGTCGTCCCTGCGGGGTACAGTAATTAAATCTCGGCTCCGTTCGCCATACGGAAGCTACCTGAGAAATATTAAGTGCGCATGCTCATTGGTCAGTTATTGGTCATCAGCTAGTTCCCCTTCTTCAGTTGAAAGTGGGGAACAAGGCAAACATCAGCATAAGAACGAACTGCGCCCTTTGACAAGACCGCATATGCAAAAATTCTGCCCACCTCCAACTCCGTCTACTGGGGCTGGGTATCTCTGTGAATATCTCCGTGAATATATCTCTGGTGATATTATCTCCGTAGATAGTCGATTCATTGCTGCTCTACGGGCCAATTCATTCCTTTTTCGTCTCTGTTTTGACNAACTCCATCTACTGGGGCTGGATATCTCTGTGAATATCTCCGTGAATATCTCTGGTGATATTATCTCTGTAGATAGTCGATTCATTGCTGCTCTGCGGGCCAATTCATTCCTTTTTCATCTCTGTTTTGAAAGATAATAGAACAGAAGAGCTTTTTTCCTTCGATCGCCTTCAGCCGCCATGCTTTCTTCACCACGAGTTTAACTGATGAGCATGCGCACTTAATATTTCTCAGGTAGCTTCTGCATGGCGAACGGAGCCGAGTACCCCGCAGGGACGACGTGTGGGGATGCGTGTGAGAGGCGGAGAGACTATTAAAAGATTAGGTGGTTTTTCTTTCATGTACGTCTGCCATTTTTAGTTCTCAGGATTTGTAAAGCCTGGCTCAATTCATTGAGAATGCGGTCTAAGCTTTTATAAAGAAGCTGAATTTGGTGTAGAGGCACAGTTTCTGTTTACAGGAGCACAGATTGCTACACGTTTGTTTTACAGAAGTGGAACTCTGCCAGAATGTGTAAACCTCTGTAATGAGAGTAGGCATAAGAGAGTAATTCCTATTGGTGAATACTCCACATGTGGCTTTACATGTGTATTTTCTCCCAGGGGTGTCACTCCTCACCAAACCCTCCCTAAGCCTCAATATGGTCTAGAAGTATAATTCCTATTGGTGAACATTCTGCCTGGGACTGGCCTAGAGCCCTGGGATGTCCCACCATTCATACTACCCCCCATGGTGTTACCATGGTGCTGCATGCGGAGTGTAGGCATGTATGGATGTACTGAAGGCTGTGATTGGTTGACCCTTGCTGGCATGCCCTGACCTTGACCTGGATACTGCACCTGCCTTACTCCTCCTAACTGTGCCTTGAATACAGAAAAAAAAGTTATAATTTCATTGCTGTTTTTTTAAAGTTTCTATGCTCATCATGAATAATAATAATACCAAAATAATAACTAAGAAATAACTTCTTGTTTCTAGTATTACATGTGAATTGCCAATATAACTGTAAAAATACTAAGATCTAAAATCTGTCAATTAAAATATTTGCGATAATATAATGATAATATAATCATCCAATATAACATCTGAAGTTAAGGATAATGTAAGAACAAGTTTGACAAAATAACACATTTGGTCATTTGTTATTTTCAAAAGTAAACAACCATAAAAAACTCAAATTTACACATAAAGCCAAGACAAACATTGCTGTTTAAATTAAAATTGAGGTCTTCACACCTGTTGAGGGGAAGTTTTAAACGATGGTATGCTGTGAGCAGTTACAATAATTGGCTGTTGCTGTTGCTGATGTTGTAACTGCTGCTGTTGTGGTTGTTGTTGTTGCTGGTTTGAAGCAAGAGACTGGACATACTGTATCTGTAATGGCTGCTGGACTGAACTGGTGATCTGAAAAATTTCATGATGAAAAGTTAAATTATTATCACTTTAACACATAAATAATACATCTAAAATATTATATCTGTGATGAACTCATCACACTTTCAAACTTCCCTTCTTTATGGTATATGTCTTTACCATTTAGAGAGCCTTTTCCATGATCCAAGACATCACATATTGCTGCCAGAATTAGAAACAGGTGGTGCAACATCAGCCCCTCAACGTCACTGCTCCCACCCCCCCACCCCCCTTCACACAAACACACATATATAAAGGCCCATAGGGGTGACTAAAGGGAATCCTCCCAGACAGTCCAAATTCTTCTCATTAAGTGTACAATCAAATGAGAATTTACACAATTTGAAGTAGAGTGGGGCAGAAATAATGGAAAACGTAGTATGTGACAGCATCCCCACAGTCCTGTATGGTTATAAGGAACAGGTTAGATTTGATTCAGACACTATAGAAATTTTGCTCTATTATTCTGATGAGATTTACAGAGCAATTACCCTAAATGTTACAAAAAATCACTATCTGACCTGTGTTTGAGCAGCAGATGGCTGTATGTTAATGACTGTGTTCTGGAGCTGCTGTACAGGACTGCTGGAGACAAAGGTCGTCTGCTGTGGAACAGACTCTGCCTCACGACGCTTCTGAAGGGCCTCTTTCCTCCATACCTTTAAAAGAAAAGTACTAAGTAATTTTATCCATATTTTCTCAAAATAAGACTTTGCCTGACAGAACAGCCTAAGATGGTATCTAGATGGTTTTCATCATTTAAGAATTAGGGTATTTCTATCCAAGCCAAAGTGACAAATATATACATTCATGTTAAATACCGAATGACAAAACAAGTCAAATGAACTAAATTTATCCTACTCTTTTCAACAGATGCATTAAATATGGCTGTACCTGTTCCGATTCAGTTTGACCTTGCGATGACCTTTGACCTTGAGTGACCTTGGGTGTTGTGCCGTCCCCCACTGGCTGCATCTGCGTCTGTGTACACTGGGCCATGTGGTGGGGCCAGTGGGTCTGCTGGCAAGGGTAGTCACAGTAACTGGTGTTCCAACAACAGTAAAATATGGCTTCCTTGCCACAGTTGGCACACTGGAGATGTGAGGTGACATGGGAATTATAAAAACTCAGTTGTGAAACACAAAGGAAAAAAATAAAATACTAGCATATGACCTTTACATAAAAAGTAAGAGTGCAAGAATATTGAAACACAACTGAATCATGGGATTAAAAATGGCATAAAGGCAAGAAAAAAAAGGCAAGAAAAATACAAATCTCAGAATCTCCAAGTGCTCATTTACTGGCAATCACTGAACATCATAATAAATCCCTTAAATAATTCTAAAGTCATTCTTTTTCACAACATAAGCATCAATACAAGACACAGGCTGACCAACTTACCCACTGTTTTTTCTTGGTCTCATCCACAGCCTTCTGTTTTTCTGTCTCGCACTGTTTCTTCACTTTCTCCACTGTTTGTCTCCAGTCATTTTCCACAGTGGCTCTCATTTCTGCCAGCCGAAGGTCTGTCACATAAAATAGATAAAATATTTTTGTCTAGTAAAATAAAATAACATACAGACTTTCTCTGTTTTTTGGCTGAAGCATTTGTCTTTCTGACTGGTTGCTGAATGCTTAATCGATCCAGAGATTTAGATTTAGATCGACCTAACTCCCTGGGGGTTCACCCTAAATTGCAGTCAGCCAAGCATGCACCATAGTTAATTACCCCCTTACAGCTTTTAGGCGAGACAGTAGGTGGGACAGACGCTTAAGCCGGCTAAGCTGACAGTAATCTAGTGAGACTTCCCACAGGGATAAAACGATCTAAAATCTATGGGAATGGGGTCTAATTCACCAAATATTTTTTCATGTTTTGCAAGAGGTCAGACTGTTTGAGTAGAGCCGTGAAGTTCAAGAAAAAACCATGTCCTGTGTAACTCCCAAAAGATACTCTAGGAAAAAGTTAATAGCAAATTTAAACTAGTCAGTCTTAAAAAAAAAAAAAAAAAAAAAGAAAAAAAATTTGCAGCCAGTATTAGCTGTGTATTTATTCAATTAATTTATCACATTTATCATCATCATTTTCTTTTGGTTTGCTTTTGGTTTGGTTAACAAAATTACCATCAAATAACATGTTTTACATACATGTTCGTACATACATATCCTCTTTTCAGTTGCAAAAATATATAATTAAAACTTCATTCAAATATGTAGTGTTCTTTGATACTGACATTGATTAAATTCTAAATCCTCTGTGGAAGGCTGTCAATTTTTTTGATGATTCAGAAAAAAATGTTCACAAATTATGATCAAAAATTTTCAACATCTTCATGCATACTGATTTTTCAAATTTGATAGTGATTGGGTGAAAGTTCTGTATTTGTAAACTTTACGATAGAAACCGGAGATACCTGCAACATGCTGCATCTCGGCCAGCTCCTGCTGGTGCCTCCAGCTGGCCTTCTCTAGCTCCAGCTGGAAGTGTTTGGCCAGACCCTGTCCTCCACTAGGACTGAGGAGATCCTTGTACAGTGACTCAAAGGTCCCTTGCACAGATTTCATGATCTGGAAAACACACAATGCAGCATAATATATAAGTATTGATATACAGCATAATATATAAGTATTGGTATACAGCATAATAAACAAGAATCGGTATACAGCATAATATATAAGTATCGGTATACAGCATAATATGTAAGTAATAGTATACAGGATAATATATAAGTATCAGTTTGCAGACTGTGCACCAAGTAATTACTTGTCGAGTATTCTCACCTGATCAGTATACTGGCTAAAATCAAACGGTGTAATATTTTCAGCCAAGGGGGCACCGCCTGATGTTGGCACACTAGATGATTGTCCTGTAGACAACTTGGCTGGTGTGCCAGAAGCTGTCTTCCCTCCCCCTGATGTTCCTGGTGCTGATATGGCAGCCTGCTGCACGTGTGGACTGGGTTGTAAAGCTGGGGGTTGGGGGGTGGCAACAGTAATGGGAGTAGCTGCCAAAACAGGGGCGGCTAACGGCACAGCTGGTTTGGCAGGTGCTGGGGCTGCTGGTGTTTTCCTGAATACAAATAATATCATAAAGTTATTTTAACGTCATTTAATATAAGGATTACTAGTAAAGTGAAGTAAGTACTGTTATTTAAATTAAAATTATCAATAACACCAACATCTAGGGATTCATTCTTTTCATCCATGTCTGCACAGAACTTACTTTTTCTGAAGATGCTCCTGGAACTTCTTGGCCTGTGTCTTCCACTGTCTCTTCCTCCATTCCTCCTCTTTCTCTTTCATCTTTCCCACCAGGTCCATGTAGACTTTAACATTGTGTTCGTTTCCTCCTTCCTCTGCACTCTCCTGCAGTTTCTGGCTCTGAGATTTCTCCCTTAACATGATTGAAATATGATCTACCACTGAATAAATGATACAATTTATTGGTGATACTTCAATTAATTATGAATTTATCCATTCACAACAGTGGAGAGATAAACATGGAAGCTGTGTTTTTTTTCTGTTGTTGCTGGCTTGTAGTCTCTCTGCTTATTTATCACTTCATTATGTCAAAAAATAATAACAATTTTACTAAAATACTGATAACATCTGAAGACCATAAATCCAGTTTGAAAGCAATAATTTTATATACAAGTATTTCACCCCAAAAATTGATCATTCAATATCAACAATTTAGTAAGGCTGATAAAAATGTATTTAGAAATATTGAAATTTTTATTTCATTTGAGCACAACACCAACACTTAGTAAATAAACATATCTGCTAAACAATTACCCCTTTTTGGAAGCAATGGTCGTTGGACTGCAGCGGTCAACATCAATGACCAAACGGTCACTGTCATCTCCCTCGTCTGACTGAGAACATCCCGTCTCCATTTTCTCTTCTGCTGTCTCTTTATTTGGTTCAGTTCTTCCTTCATGATCACTTTTGGCCTCTTTATTCAGTTCAATATTTCCATTGCTATCATTTTTGCTTGGTTCAGTCTTTTCTTTCCCAGCATTCCCAGTACTTCCTTCTGTAACATCCTGTGATGTTGTGTCGTCTGCTGAAATTGATGGGCAGGCATCTTGCACCATAGGCTTTTCCTTTTTATCATTGTCTGTACTGCTGCTGATACCTGTAGCCTCAGCTGGCATAGAAGCAGGACCAGATGAAGCCACTTCTGTTTTTGATTCTTCTGTCGTCTGCTGAGCAGCTTCCCCAATTGATTTTTGGTCCCCAGTTTTATTGCTTTCCTTCACATTGTCATCTGAGGGAAAGAGACATCAGCTTTTATTAGTTGAATCATTTTGCATCTGTTTAAGTTATTTAGGAATTTCACAAGGCTCTTGATCTTGGAAGCCATTTTGACACTTCTATCTCCCCCCCCTCTCCACCCCAAATAAAGAATGTAAATTTTACTTTCAGTCCTTTCAAAGTGTTTAAAAAATTGGAAGATTCCCCTACCATTTTCATTTTGTTCCACTTTCTCTTCCTCTCCTTCAGATGAGGATTCATTGTCAGAACTATCGCTGCTATGTCTGCTTTCTTCCTCCTCCTCTTCATCCTCTTCCTCCTCTTCATCTCCACTGACCTTAGAATCCTGAGAGAGAAAGAAAATTTAAAGAAATCAAATGTTCAGAGATGATTTGGGGTTGTAAAAACAAGTAGTTAGAAATAAAATATAATTTTTCTTTCCTTAAAGGCTAAGTAGCATCAGTCAAACACATCATTTCAGTCCAACAATTTCATCAAAATCCACCCACTACTTTGAAAGTTGGGCTGGTGACGAATAGAAAGACCTTGGCAGAGGTCATAATTATTTTCTTAAAAAGCTTTTCCTTACTAACCTCCTCCCCAACAATGCCCAGTTTAGCTTTACAAGATTCAATCGTCTTCTGAAGAGTGTCAAAAAAACTCTTCTTGGTTGGAGTGCCACCTGGGGTTATTTGTGCTGAGACATCAGATAAATATGGAATGATTTATTTTAACATTTATAGTCAAATTTTCAAAATGAGGTAAATCAATCACTTCACAATTTTAAAATTGCAGTTTTTTAACAATAACAAATGACTTTTTTTGTCTTTGGTCTTTTTCTTTTTTTCCTTTCCAATTGCATCCTACAACTATCTTCAAAAGTGATACTATTCTATCTTGGGAATCAGAATTATTTAAAAAACGTATAATTTCATTTGTAGTCCTCACCTAAATCTATGTCCATTTCTTCTGTTATATCACCTCTTTTTTCCTCTGTAACCTCTTCAGTATTATCTTTATCTCTTTCATGGGAATCTTCAGAGGTTTTATTCACTTCCATCTTTTCAGAATTTTCATTGTTTTCTTTTTTCAAATTCTCGCTCTCTTGTAAAGTAGTCTCTGCTGTTTCTTCAACCTCGTTCATTTTCTCTATTGCACTCTGTATCTTTTTCAGCACATCACTATCTGTCTTTGGGACAGCACTTATGTCCAAACGAGGAATCTTAATATCAAAGTTACACATATCCTTCGGTATGGCATCGTCACTTATTGTGAACACACCATAGGGTGCAGCACTGGAGTTTGAAGTCTCCGGACTGTCACCTGATTTATCAGAGTTTGGTGACAAATTAAGACCATCTGATGGACGATTGCCATGTTTTGCTGCGCCTCTCCGAGTTGTTATAATACTACTGTATTTATTTTTCAGTGCAGTTGCTGCCTTCACAGCAGATGACTTTTCAGCATCTTTTTTGTCCATCGAGCCCAAATCTGAACCAATCAGGCGTCTTGGTTGAGTTTTCAACTGCGATATACCTGGAGTATTTGCATCTGAGCTATCATCTGACTTTGTATTGTCACCAAGACCAGTGGCGGACTCTGGTGTTGCACTCACTGACCCCTCAGTGACCCTTGGTCTCAATTTGAAATCTGCTGACTCATCGGATATATTTTCAGCAGCTTCAGATTTGACTTTGTTCTTTAGTTCGGATTCTTTAGCATCTTTGTCATCCTGGTCTGCATCTACACCCACTTTAGACAGTGCCTCCACAGGGCGATCTCTTATCTTGACCAGCTTCAGGCGCTTACTCGGGATTTCCCCAGTAGGACTTACGTGGAGTTTGTTGTGGTAATACATGTTGTTCTTGTCATATGGGGTCCTGAAAGGGGCATACTCAAAGCTGCCAAACTTCTCTCTGGAAAGAAATAAAAATAAGCTTTTTATTTTCAGAGATGAAAGTGGATCTAAGTCCTTTTTAAAAATCTGAAAAATGCAAGAAGCAAAGTTCTAAAGCTCTATGTTGGGGTGTGACGGGGATGGGGGATAAATGTAACACCAAAATATCCAGATTAGTGGACAAATTCAGAAGACTTTCTCCTTAAAAAGGTGAAATCATGGGGACAGTAACCATGACATCAAAATCATTGTCACCACAAACATTCCCCCACCTCAAGTGGACCCAGGGCATGACCATCTCCATCATATTCACCTGATTTTCTGAATATGTATTTCGATCTCTTCCATGGATTCATCGAACCCTCCTTTTTTGTTCTTTACAGCTGTCGGCACTTCCTTGGACAACATGAATAATTGCGACACAGGTACCCAGGCTCTGGAGGAGTAAGGTGGTATATGTTAAATCTGTGTTGTGAAATTAATGGAAAACATAAAGTAAGTCTATAAATCTATTTCTAGACCTACGATGTAGTCTAGTTGATGACATACATATCTCTCATGTGGAGACTGCTTGGAGAAAACAGTCTATTTATGTTTAAAATGACAGGATGACTAATTTACACAGTACAAATGATGCTTTCCCAAAACAATTTTTTTCTATATCAGCAAATTTATAAATAACAAGGACAGGTATAAAAACATTAAAAATTCTAATTCTTTAAAACAAGCTGCTGTGATCACCATGCGACAATATACATTCCAAACTTAGTTGTGTATGCTAACATTCTGATCAAAGCAGTTCTTCTATTAAAATAAAGATGGAATTATAATCAGATTTTATACTGGAGCTTACATTTGAAAAAGAGGTCCCCAAGTTTCAGCCTTTGTTCTGGTAAAAAGGCCTGTCACCAATGCCATGTTATGACAATCTCACTCTGTTCAGGCCCGTAGCCAGCTATTTCAAAAGAGGGGTTCTTTTTCTGAAAAGTGGACCTTTTACCATGAAACCTTCATGTACCTAGATAAAATGTTATCCAGAGGGGGCCTTTTCCCAGAAAAAAAAGGGCTACGGGCCTACTGTTGATAATTCTGAAGAACAAACTTTAAAATAACTTCTTCCTTTAACCCAGAGATATGCTAACCTGTCATGGGCCCCAAAGAACCTCACGTCCACCTGTCCGTCCACCTCCCTGAGCGCCTTGGCGGGCCAGAAGGGGTAACCTTTCAGTTTGGCCCAAACCAGAGGGTGGGGGGTACGCTGAAATAAAAGAAGTGCTGGTGTCTCTAAAACATTTCAGTGCACACCAAAGCTACAGGATCATCCATTTTTATCACCATTTTCAAAAGACTTATTCTACAACCAACGGGGCAGAAGGGGGGGTTAATGCTCCGTGTAAATTTTGGAAAAATAATAAAAATGATGAAGAGGAGTTCTTCACCCAGGGGTGTGCTGGCTACAGTCATCATTTTTAGATTTTCACCTCTTAATCTCTGAATGGGGTAGGGGGTGGCTTTTGAAAAAAGTCTACTTTTGGAAGACTTGTAAAAATGATGATAAAATGGATGACCCTTGAAGAGTTTTCTATTTTCATCCTTTATTTCCAGTCCTTTTAAGGAAGCCCATATATACATGGATGTGTTTTTAAATATGTCTCAAGCTGAAAATTACTCTCAGTGATGTAAACAGACCATTATGATTTGAATCCCACCACACTTTTACAAAATTTTACCCCTAAATGCTGGATGTGCAACAAGGGACCAGAATTCTAGACTTCCACAGCATTTTAAGCTGAACCCAAAAACTTAAATATTGTTTTAAAACGGGTTCAAGTATCATGAATCTGGTGGTTCCGACCCCCCCGCTGCCACCATTTTGTAACTACTCACACATGGCTGACAAAACCAGTTGTCGCTCCTCTTGGTACAGGAGTTTGTGTAGCAGTCTGGACACACCTCGATCTCACTCATCTAAAATATTTCATTAAATTATTTGGAACATTGTTAAAAAGGAACATTTTAAGTGCTGTGTAAGGCACATACAGATTTTAAAGAATGCATCACATAAGAAATTTTATTTGCATTATCACTTTTATTTACCAATAGGGTAATAAGACCATCACCATATATCTGATTAAAAGCTTTTTAAAATCACAGATTTAAAAGAAAAGAAAGAGCTGCACTCCTGTATTAAACAATGATACAAACACAGTATAAAACTGAGATACATCTGTATTTAGATAACAAATCAAATGATCTATAAATAGGAGTAAGATAACCCACCTCATGCTTGCATATCTTCACTATCATTTTGGCACTGGCAGTTAATTTATGGTGGGCTGAAATGTCATGTAAAATAGATTACACATTTTAATAAATGAAAACTGCCAACAAACATTTTTTTAAATTTAGAATGTTGAAGATGAATATTTTATTTCTTCAATCCATCTATTTATTTGTTCAGCTATTACTTAATCTATTCATTTATCCATTTATCTTTTAAGTGGTCCACCTATGTAGTTATTCATTCATTCATCTATCTATTCAATTGTTATATTATATCTTGAAGCAAGACACATGCTACAAGGTTGTTTATTCTAATAATCTGTATAGTTAATGAGAGAGATAACAAAGTGATAAAAGGTCCACATGGACTTACTTCCATTAAATATGATACAGTTATGAAGAATCCATCTGGCCTCAGCTAGGAAAGCCTCCGTACAGCCATACATCTTCTTCTTGATGTTCTAAATACATGAAATCATCAATTCAATATACTATAAAAATTCATTAGATACTATCACCAAACAGTGGTTTACATGTCTCTTATTCAACTTTCAAATTGAATTCTTTTTGAGTGTGATTAAATTGGCTCAATTTGAGGATAACAACTAGGGGCGGATTTAGGGCGTCTTCTGGGTCTTCCGGAAGACGGTCAGATTTTCAAATTTACACGGAGGGGTATCTAATTTTACTCTGTCGGAAGACGGTCAAAAATGGAGGATGGATCAACAAAGATGATTTGGAAGACTGTCAGAAAATATTTCTGGATCGGCCCCTGACAACGTAACAGGTTGGACATTACAAAGTTCTGGTAATATGTGCACACAAGCCAATAAATAAATGCAAATAAAAGGCTGAACACATTTTTATTCAATCAACTACAACAACCAGTAAATATACCACAAATATTCTACAGTATTCCCTCTCACCTTCTCCATGGTGCTAAGATCCATAGGATAAAAGATGTAGTCTTTGTAATTCGGCACTTGTGTCATGTCCACAGGCTTCTGGAAGGGCTCACTCTGTGGGGGAGAAATAAATATCTTTACCCAAAATCAAACGAAAAATCATTTAATTCAGCGTTATTTTAGACTGAAAAAAAAAAAAAAAAAAAAAAACAGGAGAATTTCAAACATAATATTGGGGAACCATCCAAGATAGCCTAAAATCTCATGACTTACATAATTACTGCAAGAATGAGTAAATTACAGCCTTATGTATTTAGGAAAAAATTTTTTTTTCTAAATCGATACTATTCATTCAAATGGCTCTAGACATAAACCTTACTCCGGAGTGTTTCATCCTCTGTAGTGCAAACTTCAGCAGCGTACACAACTGCTCCATGCTCAATAACGACATTGCACGTGATCGCGTGTCTGTGCATTCTGCTCGCATTGTCCTCTAGAATAAACACACAAACAAAATAAATGTTTGACTGTCTTTGCTTAGATACATTTATGTGCCTTTTTAACCTAAATACATTTTAATACATTCTCCTACTTGTAATATAAAAGTTCACGTGTATGTATAAATGCATGCATGCACCTGCACACGTCATATACACTCATGGCAAAGCCAGTCTCTGTCAGGGTCCACTTCTATATTAAGACACTTAAAGTGGTACATTCTACAACACAGCTCTCTCTCTCTCTCTCTCTCTCTCTCTCTCTCTCTCTCTCTCTCTCTCGTGCATGCACACAAACAAATACACACACACACTTAGCTCACACTCAGTGGTAGACTCTGGAATACGCCCTTCTCTCTCTCTCTTTCTCTCTCTCTGTGTCTCTTTATCTCTGTTTCACAAACACACACACACACACACACACACACACTACAAATCTCTGCCAAGCTCCACCTCTATATTAAGACGCTTGAAGTGGTACGTTCTGGGACACAGCTCTCTCTCTCTCTCTCTCTCTCTCTCTCTCTCTCTCTGTGTGTCTCTCTCTGTCTCTGTTTCACACACAAATGCACCCACCCACCCACCCACACACACAGCTTACCTCACACTCAGGACAGACCCAGTCCCCATCAGGCTCCACCTCTATATTAAGACACTTGAAGTGGTAAACTCTGGGACACAGCTCACAACAGATTACGTTACCCTCCTTGTGGCACAACCAGCAGTACATGTCATTTTCTGTGTCCTGGGACCAGAAGAGAAAGACAAAAACTATTAACTGGAAAACGGCCTTCAATGAACACCAAACACCTGTTGCACTTTAATATATTATAATCTGGAAACACGAGTGAAAAATTAAAAACAGAGTAAAAACAGTTTATTCTCTTGGTGCACAAATTTCTGTGGTGAACAGTTCTTGTGATTATATGGTTAATGTAAGCTTGTTAAGAACACTATTCATGACAATTAAAACATTTCCACTGAATATCTACCACCTATTCTTCTTCTGTGTGTGTAAAAGATGAAACAAAGTAAATACATTTTATTCTTCAGTACACTACTTTCTTTGAAGAGCATTTCATGTTATTCTCCAAGTTTTAGGATCAGAAGTTAAATAACAGAAATCGTATCTTTCCTTACATTTAGATAAAAAGTTAAATTGTGTTATAAGTTATGCCAAGACAAGGAGTTATACAATTTCCGTCGATTTTTCAGTGAAATAAGAAGAGGTTTTTTTTTTTTTTTTTTTGTTTAACATACCTCTTCTTCACCCTCCTTCTTGCTCCTTTTCACCCTCTTGGGGGGAGGGTTTAGAGGGCCCACATGGTATACCCCAGCCTCTGCTTCCCCTGCCCCAGAGCTGGTGCTGCCCTCTGACAACTGACGCTTCTTTGTGAACGCAAAACCTGGAATGACGTCACAGCAATAAACATGAAACAGAGGGTGCTGTAATGCATGCTGGAAGTGGTTTTCTATTTCGTATTTTTTCATGGGCAAATCATATTATATCATACAAAAGATCTCTTAAAATAAATATAAGAAAGCATGCCATTTCTCCTGTAGGGGGAACTAAATCTACTGAAAGTGTTTGGTACAATGTACTTCCAAGAAGAACAGGACCGCTGACTGCTCTTATCATAACATCTGCCAACTATAGTCACCAGCAGGTGTCAGTATGAACAAGACTGCAGTAGCAGTACACATTTAAATTACTTTATAAATAAACTTTTTAAACTTGATCCAGATATAACCAAGTTTAGCCTTGCTATTTATTTTTTACTAAGTTTGGTCATACTTTTCCTTCCCAGCGCCGGACTGGGGGTCCTGCCAGTCAGCGCTGACCGTGTCCTGATAACATTTGTTGCTACAACAACTGGGCGTGGCATGTCACTGGCACTAGGGACAACAGGCTGGCTTGTCTTGGCACTAGGAGTGACATCTGGAGGAGGGGTTGTGTTTTGTGAGACGGGTGGTTTCTTTTTCTCTGATGATTCTAAGGAATGAAAAACAAAAAAATCATTTAATATTATAATTAAAAGGAGATCTTCAATGATTATGGTATGATGTAATAAAGTCTATGTTAACATCAGTCATAAGCACTGATTACCCCAGTTCAAGACAGCTGAAACTGTGGGTGTGGCCCAATTTTTTTTCACAGAACTGAATGATGAACAGTGAATATGATCAAATCTTACGTTAAATCAGGCATTTGACAAAAATTATTCTTAGATTAGTGAATTGTAATTATAAGAGCATAATGTTCTAAGTCTGTCTCACTCTTGTTTTCTACAGAACAAGCTGAATCTTAATTATGGAGTATGACTCTTGAAGTCGCATTTCTATTTCAGTTGCAATAGTATACAAAAATACAATCTGATTATGTTGATTCGATGAAATCAAAACATTGATGAATTTTTGTTGCTTTGGAATTTCTTGTATAACTAAAACATTGGCAGTCAGCCATATAAAACAAAGGGCCCTCTCTAACACATTAACAGTAAATCTTAATCAAAAGCTAACCATATTCTAACTTGGCTCGACTCATGTTTGTTAGTTCCGATATCCATTTTTTTCCTGCTGCTATTTATAAATTTGAGACAAACAGCCACTTCCAAGTATGAAACAGAATACCACTTAATTTGATATCTGTAATATACCAGTAGCACTGAGATTGCCAATGTCAAGTATTCAGTACAATCATGTATTGATTTAAAGCACAAAATGAACATATGGGGTCTTATGTATCTCATTATTAACCTACTTTTGATAAGCCAATTCTTCTGTACTTATGAAAAGCATGAGCTCTAAGAAATCCTATTGATAAATGGTTGTGGTTTCATATTCAGTTCCAGCTTAGAATATGAGTCAGAGAAGAATTTCATCAGCTATGTTATGTTATAAGAATAATGTAATTTTTCTTCAATCATGAAATCTGATGAAGATGTCCTGCTAGACATCAAAATATTGGAGGTAAAAAACTCTCTCAATATTTGCTGTTGACTGAAGAAAAATGACATTATTCAGTTCCAGCTGTTGTTCATGTTGTTACAGCCAGGAACCAAGAAAATTCTCTAAGCAGAAATTGTGTGATGTTGTTTAATTAAAAACACAAAGAATCAATAACACTGACACCAGGAATATCCCACACCACTTCTACACAAATAAATTAACTCAAAACACAGTTAATGACAAATAATCATGAAACAACTGGAAATGAAATACACCTTATAACAGTGTCCTGACTTCCTTTACTTGAGAAGAGAAAAAAAACTCTGGTCTTTGTTATATTTGTTTTTCCACTTACCTCCCACATTGGCTGGCATCTTCTTCTTATTGTCAGCATTTCCTGTAAAATAAACATTTGATCACATTCTGTCACACACACTCTTCTAAAAAGATAACTTGATTTTCATGACCAGAAAAACCATTTACAATGAGAAACAGTACTAGTCAGTAACATTTTAGTATGTATTTCACCCCCAGTGCACTTAAATTTATATAAAACTTGTCATTACATATTCAGATTTTCTCAGCAATCTTTAAGCTCTCACATCTACAGTTTCACCTTTAACCATCAGAGATCAATTTACTATTAATAATATCATGTACATCAAGTTCTCAAGTATCATACCTTTCTGATATCTTCCAGCCATAGCTTCAGGACGGCTGGCATTTATTCTGAGAAAATAATTTAATCCGAATGTAAGTTACTTATCACCATTTAGCAAATTAGTATGAGTGTCTAACAAGTTACAATAATACCAAATATAAATTGACTTTGGAAAGTATTATACTTCATGTCACTGTAATAGAAGACTCTATTAAGACTTTCTTTTATCAAAACTATAGATCTTTCTGTTAATCAGTGTTCTATGTGAACTTTGCATTTTCCAATCAGTCAAGACAGCATCTGAATGCATTTTCAAATTTAGGCAAATACCAGAGTATATCCTCACTTTATATAAATAGAAGAAAAAAAAAAAAGATTTGATTTTTCAAAACTTCCATTGTAACAAATCTATACATAAGGTGAAAATTTCAGTCATTCATAGGTGCAAAAAAATAAAATAATAATAATAATAAAAAATAATAATCAATAATAACAAAATTGATTATAATAATTATATCTGAGCAGTATAAAGTGACATAGCAGGGCACTTTGACAGCCTTATTGCTATTAGAGTCTGAGTAAAACCCATATGATAAATTAAAATTGCTGAGCAGATAGTATAAAGTATGAAATAATAGCCTTGTTTTCTCTGCATGGCAAGTCACTTAATATCAAAGTAACTATATATCTTGCATAATCTGGAGACAATAACAAAATGACGTGCACCATTGTCCTCGTTGTTACTTAATTTCTTTCATACCCCATTAGACTTCCATGCAGACAACACTTTAATCTGTTTTGGTAGATGAAATTAATATAGTTTATAATAAGGATGAAACATAAAATCAGTCAGGTCATCATGTTATTTTGCCATGTAGGAATGTTTCACAATTTATTTGCAGAGTGAAAACTGTTATAACAACTCTTTAATCATACAACAGACCTCTTCTTGTCCATCTCATATATATATATATAGCCATGCATGCACATTTCAACAATGCCATCTTGACCTACTGACATATTTAGAAATTCACTTAGTCTCAACTAGCTTGGTACCGTGTTTATAAGGGGCAAGCAATCTCACATACCAAAAACATGAATGCAAATCTTGATTCTCCCGACAAAAACATAAACTAAAATCTGTATCAAGCTGCCTTCATATCTCTCTGGTTTAATTTTATTCAAAATGGCAGTCCATGCTAGAGCAAAAGTCAGATGTCAATCATTTTACATGTCGTCACAGAAACCACATTCTGATTGGTCACTGGTTGCTAGGATATATGGTTGGTATCCGAAGGTGGTAAAAATGCTTTAATGGATGATTCAGGATTTTTAAGAGAAAGTGCTCAATCATAACTCTTGATACTTTATATCACTCACAACAACAGAAATATTTACTGGCCCAAACTGCATGTATGCGGTTTTCTTTTTTCACTTCAGCTATCTATCTATCTATCTATCTATCTATCTATCTATCTATATATATATACGTTTGCTAATATCAAAATACTATATATTATAATAATTTTTGAAAAGATTCCATTACAAAGAATAACCATTTAAAAAACCAGATGAAAAATGGATACAGCAAATGTTTTTTTTTTCCCTTTTATTTCACTTGCGTGTTTGCATAAAATAAATATATCTAATAAAGAAATTAATTCAATAATTACCGAAAGACAAAATAATTTTCATAAGAAAAAATCATTTGGGTAATAAATCTCTGCCTATATATTGTACGTATTTCTTAATTTCCCAGCCATCATTAAAATGTTTTGTGTTAATCAGCAAGTTATAAATACAGCAATTATTAACACCCCACCATACTGTTAATCAGGGAAAACCTACAGTTGGTCGCGGAATAATATAATTAACATCATTACCAATCCAACTCAAATAGAAATAGAAATCAGATCCAAAATTATGCTCATATGATAATTACATCAAAAAAAAAAAAAAAAAAAAAAAATTATGTAAGCAGGAACTTTTTTACTTCACGTTGTAAACACATGCAGTGGTTGAAAAAACAAACAGATGATGCATGCTTGATACAATGCTGACTAATAAATAAATATCTTATGAACACTGTTTTGAATCATCTCTTAAAGTCAAGCAAATAAAGGGTAAACAAAAACAATTTAAATGACTCATTTTTTTTTACTTTTTTTCCTTTCTTTTTCCTATACAAACCATTGTTTTGACAAGCATACCAAATCAGCACTGTTTTAATTCTACAATTATCATCTTAAACATAGTCTTACATGTGATTAAAAAAAAAACACATCATTAGGTGGAATATGCCTACAGAGTTTTACATAAGAAAATAATACATAGAGACATAGTTTTTTGTGTTGATATTATGATATAATACAGGGGGAGCCACCACCCCCCAGCAAGTCAAAATTCTAATTTCAAGAGGAG